TTCGTAGACAACAATCTGTCATGCAGCGATCTAGTTCAACGGCGGAACAAGAAACGACCTACTGTTTGATGTTAGCCCAATTTGAAAAGCTCTCGGTGATTTCATAGCCCAACTTAATAGCCCTATCCCGATGATTGGCTTTGGGAACATTGTTGGCGTTCATCACCAAGGATGGGATGTTACTCACATCGCGTAAGCGAACACCCACGTGTCCTCGCACCCTAGGGTACGGCAGTCCTGCGCATGCGCAGGTTATGACATCCAATCGGGCAAACGCCCTTTGGTTGTGAATTAAATCCGCAACATTCGGATTTCGTGTTCAAATGATGTGGAGTGAGCGACGTGCGCGTCGAATCACACAAGCTGGTAGTATGAACCCACCCAACTTATCATTCACTAACTTATGGACAGCAACCAACTTGATCTGAGCATCAAAAACCAAACGAAAGACAATACGAGCCGAGAAGTTGAAACCAAACCCATCCTTAACAACTCTTCTGATCAATCGTCTCAAATAAGCATGCGTGCTCTGCTTCTCAAAATCCTTGATTGCGTTCACCAGACTGGATAGAGAATCCAAGTCCCACCTCCGAAGCAGGTTAAGTCGTTTCGGGTTACGTAAGATAGAAACCAAAAATGGTTTCTTGATGTTCTTACGTGCCCTTCAACGCTTTGGATACCGGAAAACAATGCAACCATCATTTTCAAACGCCTTTTTGAACTTACTTAGACAACTAGTACATCCATCGTAAGTCACAACAAAAGTGTCAAATGCCTTACGTATACCTTGCCAGCGATCACACCAGGTACTGCCACCCTCAACAATCAGAGTAAAGGAACGCAAACCCTGCTCATCCTGCTTACGAAGGAGGTTAAAAATACCAACCGACCAGGCATCATCCTTATTAATTCGCACTCGAATAGGATTGATGAGTCGTGTATCATCATATTCACTCCTCCTTCGCTCAGTCAGTGTGACCGTTTTTTCTTGCCCGGGCGTCCTTTCTCAAATGAGCCGGAACGAGTCCCGCCTGTTTTTAAGAAAGGACTTCATTGACGGATGAAGACCGATTCAACCACAACCAAATCGGCATTTTCGACAATTTCCAAAGGCAGCAAGCAGTAGGATTT